TTAGAAATTTTGTCCTCAAAATTTAATAGATAAGCTTAGAAACTATGTACCTAAGCAAATAAATGTGGATAATCTCGCCTCATACTCTCCTCGGTCTCCCAAGTAGCATCACCTAGGGCTCCACCCTTCCAAATCACCTTCACGAGTCGGATGGTCTTATTGCGTAGTTGTTTGTCCTTAAAGTCCTCAATTCGCTCCGGTTCGGATCTAAAGGTCAAATTCTCCCTCAATTCTACTTCTTCAGGTTCAATAACATGGGAGGGATCCGGGTTGTACTTCTTCAACTGTGATACGTGGAACACATTATGGATACCTGCAATCTGTGGAGGTAATGCAACTCTATATGCAGTAGATCCAATTCGCTCCAAGATCTCATACGGGCCCATAAATCTAGGTGTCAATTTCTTTGCCTTAATGGATCTACCAATGCCTGTCACTGGAGAAACCTTCAAAAATACATGATCTCCTACTTCAAACTCTAACGGCCGTCTCCTCTTATCAGCATAGCTCTTCTGTCGGCTCTGAGCGGTTAGCAATTTTTGCTTAATCATTGCAATCTTCTGGGTGGTCTGCTCTACAATTTCTGGACCAATGATACTCCTCTCACTTAATTCTGTCCAACACAAAGGCGATCTACACTTCCTTCCATACAAGGCCTCATAAGGCGCCATCCCAATACTAGAATGATAGCTGTTATATATTCAGCTAATGGCAAATGATTATCCCAACTACCTGGTAGTTCAATGGCACAAGCTCTCAACATGTCCTCCAAAGTCTGGATCGTCCTCTCTGTTTGTCCATCTGTTTGGGGGTGGTATGCGGTGCTAAAACTCAGTCTGGTACCCATAGCCTTCTGTAGCGCACCCCAAAAGTTTGAAGTGAACCTTGGGTCACGATCTGACACAATTCTAGAGGGTATACCATGAAGTCTAACTATCTCCTTAATGTATATCTCAGCAAATTTCTCTAATGTAGAGGTAAACTTGATCGCCAAAAAGTGAGCTGATTTGGTGAGTCGGTCTACTATCACCCAAATAGCATCCTTACTCGAGGGTGTTCTTGGCAGTCCAGTGATGAAATCCATAGAAATATCATCCCATTTCCACTTTGGAATATCTAACGGTTGCAGTGTTCCAGCTGGCTTCTGATGTTCTATCTTTATCTTCTGACACGTTAAACATCTAGAAACAAATTCAGTTACATCTTTCTTCATTCCTGGCCACCACCAACCTCGCTTCAAATCATGGTACATTTTAGTTATACCGGGATGAATTGTATATTTGCTCCTATGAGCTTCTTCTAAAAGGATATTCCTCAATCTTGGATCATTAGGTACACAAACTCTACCTTTATACTTCATCACTGTGTCCTCAGAGATGGTAAAATTTGGGGCCTTACCTACCACTATCTCCTTCCTTATATTCCTTAAGTAGTCATCACTCTGCTGTGAGACTCTGAGATCTTCCCAGAATTTGCTCTCAAAGTCTGCTACCTGGAGTGCGGCCATTTGATGTTCAATCACATCTACTGGAACATCATGAAAACTGTTCCATAAATGATATTCATGAACCATCAAATGTGCAGCATGAATAGTCTTTCTACTTAAGGCGTCAGCTACCACGTTAGCCTTACCCGGATGGTAATGTAATTCAAAGTCATAATCCTTCAGAAATTCCATCCATCGTCGCTGCCTCATATTAAGCTCTTTTTGATCAAATAAATACTTCAGGCTCTTATGGTCACTGAAGATTTGAAACTTAGATCCATACAAGTAGTGTCTCCATATCTTCAGAGCAAACACAACTGCAGCTAACTCCAAATCATGAGTAGGGTAATTTTCCTCGTGTGGTCTCAACTGTCTGGAGGAATAGGCAACCACTCGGTCATTTTGCATCAAAACACATCCTAAACCCTTTAAAGAAGCATCAGTGTACAGAGTGTACGGCACCACAGGGTCAGGAATAGTCAATACTGGAGTAGTGGTTAACCTCTTTTTCAATTCTTGGAAAGCAGCTTCACATTTGTCAGTCCAAATAAATGGGGCATCCTTCTTAGTCAGCTTAGTTAAGGGCATCGCAATTTGCGAAAATCCCTTAATAAAGCGACGATAATAACCTGCTAAACCTAAAAAGCTTCGTATCTCTGTAACAGATTTTGGCTGTTCCCACTTCATCACTGCATCAATCTTGCTAGGATCCACCGCAACTCCGTCTCTGGACACAACATGGCCCAAAAACTTTACTTCTTGGAGCCAAAATTCACACTTGTTTAATTTGGCATAAAGCTTATGTTCCCTCAAAACTTGCAAGACGATTCTTAAATGTTCACCATGAGCCTCCTCATCCTTTGAATAAATAAGAATGTCATCAATAAACACTACTACAAACTTATCTAAATAGGGTCGAAAGATCCTATTCATGTAATCCATGAATACCGCAGGAGCATTCGTAAGTCCAAACGGCATCACCATGAATTCATAATGCCCATATCTCGTCCGAAATGCTGTCTTAGGTATATCCTCTGCTCTCACTCTCAATTGGTGGTACCCTGACCTTAAGTCAATCTTTGAGAAAACTGCGGATCCCACAAGCTGATCCAGCAAATCATCGATTCTCGGAAGTGGATATTTGTTCTTGATGGTTACTTTGTTCAATTGTCTATAATCAATGCACAATCGGAGGCTTCCGTCCTTCTTCTTTACAAAAAGGACTGGAGATCCCCAAGGTGAAACACTCGGTCTGATGAAACCCTTCTCAAGTAGCTCTTCAATTTGCTTTTTCAGTTCCGCTAACTCTGAAGGGGACATCCGATAAGGAGCCTTAGAAATTGGCCCTGTACCGGGTACCAATTCAATTGAGAACTCTACCTCGCGCTTTGGGGGTAAACCGGAGACTTCGTCTGGAAATACATCCGCAAATTCTTTGACAATTGGGATATTCTTCACGCCTTCATCAATCTCAGCTTGGATAGAGAAGAAAACCATGTAGGCCTGGCAACCCTTCTTCATACATCTATCAACTTGCGCCGCCGACAAGAAAACATGATCTTGAGTCTCGACTGGGGTCACCGATAAAGAAGATAAAGACACACTCCTCTCTCTACAATCTAGGATAGCACCATTTGCAGCCATCCAATTCATTCCCACAATTACATCCATACCTCTCAGTGGTAGGATAATTAAGTCCATAGTTGTTTTCCTATTTTTAAACTCGACTACTAGGTTAAGGCATGCCTTAGCAGTCCTTACAGATTCTCCCACAGGAGTAGACACATTCATATCAAAAGGTAAAATACACACAGGCAAATCAAGGTCCTTTACACAAGTTTCAGAAATAAAAGAGTGTGTAGCACCCGAATCAAATAGTGCAACAATATCATGATGAAGGATTTTGATGTTACCTCTAATGGCATCTGGGGAGTTCATGGTGTCCTGAGTAAGAGCAAACACACGGCCAGAGACAGTAGGATGTTGGGAAGGGTTCTTCATATTTGAGCCCTGGTTGTCCCCACAAAACTTTGCAATGTGACCGGGTTTCCCACAAATGTAACAGACCCAACACTGTCCGAAATGACGACGCCCGCATTTAGTGCACTGTTGAGAGCTCGCTGTACTCGGGGCAGGGGTAGATACTGTTGGGCTCCTCTGTGACCCGTGATAACTACTATGATAGCTCCTCTGTCCTTGGCCCCTTTGAAATGGACCCTTCTGCCTTCCTTGGTTCCATGAGCTACTCGAACCCTGATGGTTTTTCTTCATAATGCCTCCGGTGGGTCGAGGGTAGGTTGGGGGTCTACTATATGAATAACCCCTCTTCTCTCTCTCGACCTCCTTCTTACTGCGAGCTACTACTTGTAGTTTTATGCACATTTCATCATAATCTCGGATATCTAGATGAGCTAATTGTTCCCTCAATTCTGGTCTAGCCTTCTCCAATAAGCGCTTAGCCTTCCATTCAGAATCATCCCTATACTGCAGGTACGTGGAGTATCTAGATAACTCCTGAAACTTAGCAATGAATGTGTCCTCATCGAGGTTCCCTTGCTTAAAGGCATGGAATTCCGCTTCCTTCTCAGACCTTAACTCTGATGGAAAGTAATGCCTGAATAATTTTTCCTTGAATTCCTCCCAGGTGAGTGTAGAATCATCCCTGGGCCCTGCTGTCTCCCACCAATCTCTTGCTCCTTTCACTAGGAGCACTAATGCTACTTGTACTTTTTGATTGCTGGTGCATGTGACTACTCGAAAGATGGATTCGAGTCTCTTCACCCATTCCTCTACCACGGATGGTTTAAGGTTACCATCAAACGTAGGAGGGTTAAACTTCCTAACAGTTTCCCACACATCAGTAATGGTCGGTGGGGCTCTCTGTTCCTCCTGCCTAATTTCCTTCCTTCTAGACTCATGATCTCTCGGAGTGGCAGGATGTGAGGAACTGCCTTCCCCCACATGACTCTCAACATGAGCCCTATCTCCATTTTCAGTTACCTTTTGCCTCTTTAGCTCCGTCAACTCTTGTTCGTATCCTTGCACCTTGTCTGTTAATGTTTTTACAAGCATTCTCAATTCCGCCAAGTCAGGCTCCTCATTTGGCAGTGGCGGTGGTAGGTGCTCATGTTGGAATCCTGAGTTACCACGAGTAACAGGCATTTTCTCTCCCCTCCTAAAGGATACAAGATATAAATAATAAAATTAGCCTAGCTATATCATGGCCATACAATGAGAAGCACCATAACAATGTATATTGCCAACCGACTATATGCTCTGATACCAATATGTAACACCCTCAAATTTACAAACCGATTTTTTTGCAAATTATTAATTCAAGAAATCATCATTTTTTTTCATTGAACCCTTATCATACCCTTATCATGGTAGAAAAATTTCTACCATGATACATCCAAGACAATATACCACAGGTCTTAAAATATCTCAAAAAGCAATTAGAACCATGAGGGACAGACAGGATCCTCATGGCATGATATTTAAATCAGGTCATGAATCAAGAGGGACAGACATAATCCTCTTGGTCATATAAATACTTTTAATAAAAAGGATTAGAGTTTACATGCTTCACAAAGAAGATATGTCCTAAGTTGGCACAAGATACATTGTATAATCCAAAATAAGAGGCAACGTAAAAGATGGTGTCTCATACACCATAGTTACACCTCTGGTGCTTTCTCGGCCGGACTCGCTCCTGTAAAAATGTTAACCACGGGGAATGAGACTTAAAAGTCCCAGTAACCAAAAATTAATATGTAATGATGCATGCGGATGTAACTAATCATGCGATTGCTAAGTGGGCACACAAAACATTTAACCGAACAATATTTTCAAACAAACCGAACAAGTATTTAATTGCATGACTGCACCTTATATCCTCCTTTCACCATGCTCGGACGCCAAATCACCCGGCCAAAGGTGAGTTGGACCAAGCGACACGCCACTCATTGGGTCCAATGAGGGCTTACCACGTGGTAATAATTAACCGAACAGAAATTCCCATTAACACCATACATTAAAATACCCTGACAAGTCATGCATCATTCAAATATCCAAACAGGAATATATCCGAACAATAATATCTCATCATGATAAATAAAAAATAAATTTTTAACCCACTTGGCAATAATTTCAAACAAGTATATACAGTATTTATTTTCAATAATTCATAATTTTTCCAAACAACAAAACAACACATAACCATTCACAAACACACTCATCACAACACATTAATAATGGTTACCTTGTGTCTTGAATAACAAGTTCCCCTTCACAACTCCTTTTTCACCACTATCTTTGTCAATATAATCTACATAATTATTTCACAATACTATATATTAATTTTACATTAAAATAAATAACTCTAATTTAAAGAGTTAGAAAGTCTTAAATCTATAGTCCATATTAACACTAATTTAAGATTTATGCCTCATTTAACTTCCCAAATTCTTTTCTAAAATTCTCGTACCCTAATGAACTATTTTTTTTTTATCCTCAATTCACTTCTAGTATCACAATTTCATCCTTCTACATTCTAAAAATTCGTCCAAAAATAAATTAAATTTTAAAATTATCCTGAAGCCTCAAATCACCTTTCTATAACCTCAAAAATACCTATTCATACTTAAATAAATATTTAATAATCATAAGTTTATCCCTACATCTCAGATTCCACATAAATTCAACCATATAAATCTAGATTTTAACTCAAAAATTCTTAAACATGAGTTTCAACCTCAAGAAAATATTCTATAATATTTATTATATCCCTAAGAGTTTTAACCTATATTTTTAATCCATCATATCATCAGATTAACTATCCTATAGAAAAATCCTAATCAAAATATTTACTCTATCCTACAAAATAATCATATCACTAGAAAGCTAATATTATTTAAAAAAATAACTATAAAATTAATTTTGTAATTAAATAAATTTTTAAATGCTAATCTAAACAGGAAAGTTAGAACATACCTGAAGAAAAAAGAAAATAATCCCCCTTGCGAGAAAACGCTGAGCAACGTGAGAGGAAGAGAGAAAAATAATATAAAAATGGGATTGTGAGTCCCAAAATTATATTAAAAAAAAAACTATAGGTTTGAATTTAATTATTCAAACCTTTGGGCCCAAAGTTGCAATTTTCTCTAAATTGCATCTTAGCCTCTCATGCTTCCTAATGCACACACCCCCTCCTTTTTATACATGAAGGCACCTCTTCTCTTCCCTCATCTAACCAATGTGGGACTTAGAAACAACAACCTTCCACCCCCCTTTTTTTTTGTTCCTTCTACCTTCTCTTTTTTTTTTAACACACACATAAAAAAAATTATTTATGTATTATATCTTAACTAAATATTGCTTATGTGGTTTTAAATTTAAATTTTTAAATTCATAATTAAATACCTAATCATAATATTATTTCTAAATAACCTCAAATAATATAAATTCCTATTATTATCATTTTTTTCCTCAAAACCTAAATTTCACAATTTCTTTATTATATAAAAATCAGGATGTTACAGAACATAATTATTGAAAATAAATCTGCAAAATTGTTATATATTAGCACTGAAAATGAACTTTTTTAATCACAATTCTATTGTGATGATGTGGTACTTATCTTGACATTTAAAACGATGGGAATTTTCTTCAACTTAATTAAAGGTGAGGTTTCAAGTACTCAAAATTTAGAAATTAAGAAATTTTTTTTTACATTTTAAAAATTTATAGTCTAAGATGCTATTGGCAGATTAATTTAAAGTTTAAGATACTAATTAACCCTAATAATTATATTCACGCATGCATATGAAGACTAATTATTGTCATTTATTTATGATGAGTGCATGTTTGTTCGCTCTCTTGAAAAGATCAAATTGTAAATTAATTTATATGCAAGTTAATAACGTATCACGAGTCGCAGTAGCACGTAGTATATCCAAACAACATTAATTAATCCCATGTTTTCTGGATTCAATTGGGCAGTAATGATTTTTGTAGTGCTTTGTTTGACCAATGATGAGCTGTTTTTATTCGATGACGATGAGCGAGGAATATGGTGGTTAAGTAAAATTATTTGTACGTCCTCAAATAAGACACAGTATTAATGTTATAAAAATTTTAGGAACACTTTTTAGTCTTCCTCAAGACTTGCATGCCAACCACTTCGCTGCAAAGACAGCAAACAAAATAAAACGCAGCAATCATTTTATAATGAACTTAGCTTCCAAATCTCGTGATATCTCTTGACAACTTGATCTTATTTCATGTGGCTAAAGATTAAGACTTCTTACCTGCTTTTGTCTTCCAAAGCATTTTGAACAATGTCTTTCGTTTAAATTATAGAAGTCATAGAGGATTTTTGCCTATCAACAATATATGCAAAAATATCTGGTATTTTAAATTTTTTATAATGCAACATCCAGTGGCAAAACAAGATCCCAAGTCAGGGGGGTGATTTTCTTTTAAGGATACTTTTATAATTTAAAAAATCAATTATATCTTCAAGTGTATTCCGTGTCCTAGACTCACAACATCTAAAAACGGATCATTGTTATTCCTGTCACTAATTGCAGTAAAGTTTCACTGTTAAATTTTTTTTTTTTTCACAAAAAAAATATATACAGTTGGCAGCCACATGCCTTTCATCTCACAAATGAGGCAAATTTTTTTGTTTTAAAAAAATAAACCTCTCCTCTTGTCGGCGTCTTGTCCATTTCTGCTTCAAGAAATTGAAATCTCCTGCAAGGGGAGAACCGAACCTAGCAATCTTAACATGTTGAACGATCTTTGAACCAAATCTGAACGAAGGAATATAAGCAATCGAACCCAACAAAGGAGGGAGGGAGCAGAGGGGGTTACATTGAATTGGGCAGCTCGTAAACTTTTCATTTATGTATATTATCAGCAAGTGATGAAAGGAAAATGTGCCTCCAGGCCACCCTGGATTTTCCTCATGGGGCTCAATGCTTAACACCGTTCCTTATCGTAACAGTCTTTTGCAGGAGAAGGCATCACAGGGCCAAAAGGGTAATACGGTGGCGGAGGAACCGTCATAGTCGTTGGCGGTGGGTACAGGTAATGCGGTGCAGAATTCTAGTTTGGGAATTATTAGGGCGGAGCAGGAGGAAAGATGAATGGGAGAACTGCACTGCAGGCCTTAAAAATAGGAAATTGCAATTTGGGCCCAAATATTTTGATAATACATTGCAGACCTAAGGGCTTTTGTTGTTATTTTTTTAGGAGTGAAAATACTATTTTGTCCTCATATGATTTGAAAACTCAAAACCTGTGCAAAATTCTTATCCACAAAGCACAAGATGTTCATGAATTTTAAACACAATGTCCACGCATGTCCACGCATGGACATTTAGTTCAAAATGCATGAATATCGTGTTGTACATGCTTCACATGACTTTTATATTTTAATTAACCTATAAATTAATTGGACATACATGGACATTGTGTTGAGAATTTATGAATATCGTATTGTACATTGTGTTGTAGATGATCTGCATGACTTGTATATTTTAATTAGCCTATAGATCAACTGGACACGTATGAATATTGTGTTGAGAATTTATGAACATCATGTTCTGCACTTGTAGACTTTGTGTTGTACATGCTTTGAATTTTTAAATCATACAAGGGCAAAACTTTACTTTCACTCCCAAGAAAAATTAGAATAAGGGCCCTTGAGCTTGCAATGCGATTCTCCCTATATGAATCCATGGTTTTCTTCACACCAAGAGAGAGAGTTTTTTTTTTCTAAGAGAGTTTTCTTGGTTAAATTTTTTACTAGTTTGCTAAACAAGTTGCCATGTAAATGTCTTGTAGACAGTAGATATGTATGCATCCAACATTACAAAAGACAATGGATGTTTCCTCCCACTCAGTGGTGCGGTAATAAGGGTAAAAATGATACTTCCTTTATCCCAAATTATAAGATACTTTTAAATAAAATCTCACAAACCAATAAAGCTCATTAAATATATTTTACAACCTTACTTTTTCAAGATAAAAATATAAACTTTCAAAAATATCCTTCATTTAATACTTCATTGATAAAAGAATATTGAAGAGAGAGAATATATGGGGAGGGTAATTGTTAACCTCTAGAATTTCATGTTATTTTATCACATTTTCCTTAGATTCTAATCTATTTTGGCTCAATTGTATATGTTTTTATTGCCCAAATTAAAAAAATGTGTATTTTATTTTGGGTTTGTATTTTTGGCTTTGATTTGATGTTTTTGGCTTAATTTCATGTTATTTTGGTTGAAGTTTTGATTAGAAGCATTTCTAGATCTTTGTGGATGTTTTTGGAAGGCTTTTGGATGAAGAAATCAAGCACAAAATGAATAATTTTTGTTAGCTGCAAAAATAGTGCAAAACTGCCAAAGTCGTGACTTTCGTTCGTGACTTTCGCCTCAGTTAGAAAAATGCTACGTTTTATTTATCAAAAATTAGTTGGCTAGGATATATATATGCTGAGAGCTTGACCCAAAATACATTTTTCAAACTTTGAACAACCATTTGGAGTTTTGTGTGCTAGGTTTAGGTATTGAAAAAATTGGGTCCAAGAGAATGGAGTTTTAAAGATATTTGGAGCTCATTTTCTTTAATTTTTTGTTCCTCTTCCCCTTCCTCTCTTATATTCTAATATGGGTCTAAATATTTTGTATATTTGTATCTTTTGGATGATTATGAGTAGATAAATACTTTGTTCTAGGGTTATGTGGAACCCTTGTATGGATTAACACTATGTTCCTCCTCTCTTTTTGTGATTAATGATATATGTGTGTTTATTTTACTCTTTTCTTAATGTTTCTAAGTGATTGGTCACCATTTAGATGTTGGGTTCACTTGATTGATGCTTAAGAAGGCTAGATTGAGTGTAGAATTTGAGTAAAATAGTGCGAGAACTTGATATTTACATGTTGAATGAATGGTTTTGCCAGTAAAATAGAGATATACTTGCTAGTCTTGCATAGCCACGTTAGGGTTGGAGCTAAAAAGTGAGTTTTATTAATTGTAACAAGAGATTAGAAAATTAATTTAACTAAACACTTGTTTATGACTTGAGAGAGCTTGTCCAAGTATTTTTAAAACTCTAGGTTAGCACTTATTTTCATTGAAAGCATTTAGGAGAGGACATGATTTCAGTGTTTTGAGACACAAGGTGGATAAATAATCCTGAGTTTAAATTTGTGCTTGAAGTCTGTGAATCAATTTATTTTCTTTATTTTCTAGTGTTAATTTAGTTTTAAAATCATTTTCACTTAATTATGTTTGGCTCAACTTAGTTGAACTCACTTAGTTTTTTGTTTGATCATTGTTTTTCAACAAATCCTCAAGGGAACGATACTTTACTTTCACTATATTACTTGCTACGACCCGTGCACTTGTGGTGAGCAACAGTAATATTGAAAAAGTATCATTAATTAAACTTTATTTTTATCAAAGTGTCTTATATTTTGGAACGCTAAATCTTTCCTAAAAGTGTCTTATAATTTGAGATAGAGGGAGTATATTTTTGTAACTTCAGGGAAAGAATATATCAAAGTAGAGTTTAGAATACTAGATACATTTAAAGGTATAATTTGAAAGCAAAAATAGACTTTAATGTAAATATTAAAAAGATGGGATGCAAAATATGAAGGGAATGAAATGCAAAATCTAAAATTTCATACCCATTATATGTAATTTTCAAAGTGAAGGGGGCATGTGCTCAACCTTACTTGTATGTGGCTTATTCATTGACAATATCTTTTTTTAATATTTAAAAGTTGTGCAATTTTACTATTATCATTAAAAAGATTAAGTTTAATTGTTAGTCAATCTAAAAATTAGAAAAAAAATCTTAAAAAATAGAGGGTCAATGGATTATATACTTATTAAACTATAGCTCAAATAGCATCATAGACCCTAAACTTATATATTGTATAATTTGTTCCTTCAACTCTTTAATTCTAAGCAGTTAACTCCTTGACTTTAAGTATAGAAATATTGACTGTTAAATGTGATGGGAGAGAAGACAATTTGACTTAATTGTGCCAAGTTGGCATGCCATGTGTACAAGGTAGTCTTAGGAAGATGGGTATATCAGTAATAGTCCTTGAAAGATGGCACTAAACCCTATGAAAAGGAACCCAGCCATGTGGTATTCAAAGTTAAGTCTCATTTTTTATTTTCAAAGGAATGTTAGCTCCATTAAACTCTGCTTGTTCTACTATCAACATGTTCATTCTGCTGACTTGCTCTCTCTCAAGCATTTGCGCTTTAAGATTTGTGATAATTTCACCTTCGAGCCCACCTTCATTTGATGCAACACTGAAAACCTTATCCTCTGCCAAGGTTGTGATTGGGACACTCATGCCTCTTGCTCTGTTATTGCCTCTCACCATTGTACCTTTGTTGAGTATATCTGAATTCGCTCTGTTGTGGGAGTTTCATTTTGAGACCAAGACGATAGATTAATCTCCTCCTTCTTTGGTTAGTGATTATCGGGATTTGTTTGTGCCCCTTGAATACTACGTACATAATTCCAATTTGAATTTAAAATTCACTAATGAATTTGCCACCAAGCTTAGATCAACCATCAAATGCTTCCAGAAGACTTTATGTTGGAAATACCTACATAAAATATAAGAAATAATATAATTTTAGTTGTGCCTAAAAACACTATCCTTAAGAGTTATTTTGCCACAAGGAGGCAACTCCTCATGATTAAGCAAATTCTTATTGCAAAAGGCAAGGATACAGAACAATGAAAATTCATAGGGTGAACTCAGGCAACATCACAATTAAAGTAGTATGACAAAAGAGGAGAGAAATCCTAAAAGCTTAAAAGCTTTTTTTTTTTAACTAAAAGAACACGAGTAATAGCATTTAACAGACTTAATTTGGATTGTTGCATTATACTATAACCATTTCTAATACTCTTGTGGCCTTAACAATCTGTCTGAAAAAAAATATCAAAGCTAAAAGAAGCCGAAGCTAGCACTTACATACAATATAGGACTGTTGATAACTCCTCATGAGCACCTCTCTTGGAAATAGTGCTAGCATTTGAGCAACCAATAAGGACATTAACCATGTGATTAATATATTTTTCCAACCTTCTTATTCAAACTATAATATCGTGCTACTTTTATGGGCCAAAAAAGGTATGATCACATAAATGTATAAACAAGCTTTAATTTCTTATGTCATGAAATATACAGCAAGCATTACTAGATTGAGGGTATACTCTGTGTTAAGTTGTTAACTGCTTTATCCAATTTCTAATTTCAATTTTATTGCCTAAACATATGCCAGAATATAGTCTTCTCCTTCCACTTTCTTGATTTTGGGAGAAGTCATTTATAAACTCAAATCACGTCATCACGCACTCATAAAAATTAGTAGCTTTGGCATACTTTTTTTGAATCCCTCAGCCACAAATCATACTATGATATAATACACCAAAATCAAACAAAGTAAAAACTAGATATTTGAACTTATTTCATTTGTGATCAATTGGCAAGTAGCTCTAAAGATTGTTGGAAACACCTGCATAAAACATGAGCAATAATATAATCCGAATCATGCTTGAAGATATTATCCTTAAAAGTTAGTTTCTAACACTTTCCACCTTAACGTCACTGGTTGGTCCAACGATGACACTTCATCATTGATCAGTCTACCGTGATGTGATCTGGATGACATTATAAAAGGATCATCTACTATGCTAGCGAATCACACCATCAAGTAGGGGCCGGAGGGGAAGAAAGAGCTTACTTATTCTTTTTCACCTAAAAATAAAACAACATATCATTGAAGGTTGCGTTCGCCAAGGCCTTCAGTCGGTGGTCACAGGTGATGACATTGAACTTTATAGAGACAATGAAGTTTCAACAAAGTTGACATTCAAATCATGTTTTAGTCATTGGATGGGGAGCTAGGAGTGGTAGAATCGCTTGGTTGGATAATATGATAATGAGATAGGATGTGGTTTTAGACTCTGATGAGAAGTGGGTATTTCCAAGCAACGACTTATACCTCAAGTAAGTATGAGTGCAACGTAAACATGTAAGTAGATCCTACCATCTAAAAAGTAAAGTTCATTTTCTTGTAGTTAATATTGGGGGTTTAGCTATTAAGAATCTAAAAGTTGAAGTAAGAATTTGCATAATACACAAGTTTGGGATCTATAATGCTATTCGAACTATAGTTTTAGGAGTATATTGCTCATTTACCCAAAATTATACTAAAGGACTCTTTAAAAAATTTAATATAGATTAAGTTCTTTTAAGTTACAAATAAACTTTGAGATATTAAAATTATTCCTTACTAATAAAAAGACAAAAATATTATTTTGACCATCTACTTTTACCAACTACCGGCTAATTGTTGCATTATCATTCTTGGCAATAACACTGATAAAAATTAATAAATATTAAAGCATTAATCAATATTGTATGGACCAAGCATAAAACCAATTATGGTACTGATTCATTGTACCCAGTGGCGGACTCATAACCTTTGGCCAAAGAGGGAAAGATATTTTTTAAATATTAAATAATGGGTTAATGAGTATTCTAGACTCTGAAGTAAGGGAAAAGTGCTTTGGACCTTGATCTCTTAAAATGTGCAAAATGGCCTTAAACTTTTAAATTCATAGCAAATTAAACCCTATCATTAACTCACCATTAACGCCGTGACTGTTCATTAAGTAGGGCCTAGTCAAAATACTAATGTGGTAGTCCCTTGCTTATGTGTCATTTTTAATGAGCATCACTGATCCTAAACTATTACGCGAGTAGCATCTTAGACCCTAAATTTTAAAATTCAAAGCAAGTTATCCCCACTGTTTCTATATAGAACCTTGATTATTATGTAGACTAAATCAACCTCAACATGATTTTCCGTGATGAATACATCGTTAGTCTCGATGAACAACCCATAATTTTGTGAAATAAGATTTTTTGCCCCTTTTTTTGCAATGTTATCTAAACAATTGGTATTTCATGCTTCTCCATATTTTATAACTCTAATTTGATTTTATTTTGAATAATATTTATTTAGTTAATGGTAAAAACTTGAGATCCCATTTGAAAAGAATTTAATTAACAGGTTAAATTGGGTTTGAAACTGTTGATGAAATTATTAGCTTTTGCATCTATCATTTGTAAAATCTTCTGATATTTAAACTTATTTTCAAATGAGATCCCAAGTTTTCACTATTAAATAAGTAAACATTATTTAAAATAAAACTAAATTAGAGTTATAGAGTATATGAAAGAATGATATACTGATCGTTTGGAAAATATTGCAAAAAAAGGGACAAAAGCATTTATCACGCTAGACCATGCTGAGATTAATTTAATCTACATAATAGTTAGCGGCATTCTACACATAAATGATGATGGTAATTTGTTTTAAATTTTAAAGCTTAGGGTCTAGGATGCTACTCGTGCAATAATTTAAGGTTTGTGATACTCATAAAAAATGACATATAAGCAAAGGATTATCACATCAGTGTTTTGACTAGGCCGCACTTGAAGAACAATAACAATGTTAATGGTGAGTTAACGGTGAGGTTTAATTACATTTTAAAAGTTCATGATCTTGAGTGCTTTTTGCGCAATATTTTAGGATCCATAATGCTTATTAACCCTTAAATAATTCATTTATAAGTACATTATAACAATTTCACCTTGATGTAAATCATGTTTTAACATGAGTATCTTTAATTAATTAAAAAGTCAAAGAAATACGAATTTAAGATAGTATTTCAAAAAATAATATAAAAAACTGTTGTTTTCTCAAAATTTTACAAATATCACAAATAAAATATTAAAAAAAATCTCTCCATCTCTTTTTTCCCAATCTCATATAGTGAATCACCAAATGAAGTAGAGAACAAACATTAGAGGATGAAAAATTAGAAAATTAGGAAGGGCAAGATCTAAAACCAATATATAAACATTTCTACTTCCAAAATCTCAGGAAGTGCATCTGCCCACCTTGAGATGCATATAGCTCTACTAGTGACTGTACTGTAATATGACCAATCTAAATTAAAATAATAAAAGTTAACGATTATGTATGAAAAAAAAAATATTTTAGACTATTTAATCATATCCTTATCATATATACATGTCAAATTTGTAGTCAATTACTCCATTATTATAATAAAATTATTTATTATTTACAAGTAACCAAAATCATCAAGTCTCACATTTATTATCTAATAAACCAACACAAGCTTTCATTATTAACTAAGATCACTAATGAATTATCAAATATGTGTGTGTGTGTGTGTAACATTAAAGAAAAACAAACCGCAAGACAATAAAAACACAAAAATAAAATAATTTTGTATTATCAAGAGTTTTTTTTAAAGAAAATAAAAAATAATTCTTGACGAGTTCTCCACTAATTTTGACTTATTTTGGTCAGTTCACTTTTTCTTGATTACGTGCCCTTAATTGGCCCAAACCATTGGGAAATGGCTGATCTTGTCTGGTTTTGATAACAGTGGTATCCATTGACCTCTTTTTTCTTTCATGCACTTTATTCTACAAAGGATGATTGGATGGAGTTATATTTACTTTGTCTTGCATGAATTGACTAGTAATTTTTACGGTTATACATCGATTATAGAACAATCAAAGTAACAAGCATATATAATTGGGATAGAAAACAATTTACTAACCTATTGCATTCCTTTGTTCACTCTTTGCTCATGCTTTTTCTTGATGCGCCACAACGTAGCATGTGCACTCTCTACAATCTACATATACTAACGAATGGTCTACAACATTCATAAACAACAAACAAATAGGAAACTAATATAGAGAGGGGGGGGGGGGAAGATTCTCCTCATGGTGCAGAAGGATCGGGGCGGAGAGAGCAGGAGAAATTTTTTGGTGAACCCCGCAGGTTAGGTGGAACCTACAAACCCGTCTCTCCTCTCTATCTGAACTCCAAGTCCACCTGGAGAGAATCCGAGCAAGAAGGAGATGTAAGTAGCTAATAAACGGTGATAATATACTAGTAAAGTTGGTTTACATAGTGAGGCAATGCTAACTAGATCTGCTGGTGCCATGAAATGGCATGAAAGGAGCTGATATGCTTCATAGACATAAAGAAGCATACTCAAAACTCATTACCAAAAATAAAAAAATAAAGAAAAAAAGAGGAAGAAGAAGAAGCGTATTCAAAACTATTGGGCAAATTTTAGACACTAGAACATGCATGTGAAAATTAATATGATTCTACAGTGGATTGCAAATCAGAATAGGATTGAGTTTCTTACAGTAAATGAAGTTCATGGCCTACCAAAGAAAGTCGTTCCACATTCAATTTCTTCTCAAATGATCATTCATACAGTATGCTAATAATTAATATTGAAAGCATGAAGGTAGAGGCAAGTTTACTGATATAATCAGAAGAAACAAAATTACTCCGCTAGAAACCAAAAAACCGTGTGCGGATATTAATGATTTATGGACAGAAAAATATAAGCCCAAGCCAAAGATAGTCAGTGAAAGACATTGATTAATATCCAAAAGTTCGGAATATGAAAAAGAAGGCTAACCAGTATCATTCGGTTAATATCACAGCCAACAGGTCAGAGTTAACATTCAGCTGAACAACAGGTCACATCTAACCTACCACTTGGCTTCATCTGCTCCACCGAATTCGTTCAACAGCTGAGATCCTGCATTTTTGAGACATTTATATTTCAGAAACAGCATTTATATCAATTTTTTTTTCTTTGTATCCATCAAAATGAAGTAGAAGTTCACAATTTGCCATTTTGAGATATTGATGGCCATGTAAGATTGAAAAAACAAGAATCTTTATGCTTCTGCAAACAAGGCAAGTCTTGATTGGCAGCGGTACCAATAAATGAGGTATGCAACAATTGAAATTGTGTCCCCAAGCGTGTTAGAGACAAAGTACGTGAATCCATTGGACGTTATAATTAGAAATAGAAATCTAAATAAAAGTCCAAACGGACAACCTAACCTCAGGATGGAAGAACTTCTAATCCAACTAGATCCAACCATCCGTGCAAAAGGTTAAAAGAAAAAGAATACCCGCAAACTAGGAGTACAGAATATTTACGGTAACTCTTATGTTGATTGGAGTTTTCAGTCTTTTAGAGTTTATTAATTCTTATACGGTACAAGACTTGAGTAATGCATCTCAAGTACATTCAGTTCATTTTTATTTTATTTTTAGAGACCATGTCAGATATTTATAGATATTTTGGTTGACAGAGTTTGAGTAAAGCAATTTTTTAAGTCCTCTCTCAAGCTTTATTTGTGATTTCCCATTTTTGGAGTGTGTGATGTTTGCTTGCTCAAAATTGTCCCTACCAAGAAGATAACACTAATGCAATATTTAGTAGATAGAAAAGTGCTTAATATTTTTCTGTATTCCAAACATTACCTAACTTTTTTTCGTCTCATAATCTCACACTCATGTAGCCATAAATTATCTTTTTTGCATCTCATCGTCACACATAAATCAACATAAAACTGGACGAAAACTGTTGACACAGCATTAGACAATATAATCAAAACACGTTATTGATCAGTGTATCATTTCTTGGAAGTGAAGAATACGCAGCAACAACAGAATCATGAATTTGGTCCAGAAAAACCCGGAGTTACACATTTTTACTGCCAAGTTTGGGGTTGCAGCTTAGATCCACATTCAAATTGATCAGATTTTCATATCAGGTGATTCAGCATACGCAATTGAAATCAGTTCAGACCTAAACTTGTCATCCTTATCACCGTCTGACACAGCAATTCCATCAGCCTTCTGGCTTTGAGACACGGAGTTCAAATCCAGGGTTGTATCAGCGGAAGCCTTAGAGATAGCTATAAGATATTCACGTGCCAACTCGGAAGATGTCTTCTTGCTAAGTGATGCGCTATCCATATACTCTCTGCTTCTTCCTGCAATTCAAATTTGGTCCCTTTTGAGAAATCCCCCATAGGATTAGATATTTAGTATCGCATTTTTTTTCACCTCAGCACGCCTGAATATTTATACCATATCCATTCCTGATTTGCATGTCAGTGTTTAACTAGTTTTAAGAACTCAACTCCGAAGCTATCACGTAAGCATTTATTTTTTCTTAGACTGGTGTGTAAATGCATTCATATATTCAAGGAAGATCCATATAAGTTGCAAACTCTAAGGTTGCATTCAGTGCACACAAAAAATATTGAAGAAAGGGAAAGGATGAGAAAAAGTATCTTTACTATGTTTGGTAGATGGCAATATGATGTTATTCAAAGAAAGCTTCCCATGTTTATGAAAGAGAGTTTTCCCATTGTCACTCCCTTTCCTAATATTATTTTTACCAAATGGTCCCTTTAAGTAATCATTATAAGGATAAGCAGAGCGGGCCAGAGAACTCAAAGAAAACTAGCATGAAGTAAAGCCCCCAACATGACAATCTGAGAAGTTATAGCAATCATTGAATCCCATACATTGCCCTAGTTGCCAGCAGCTGTATTAATGTAAAGTTCAATATGACAACATTATCATTATATGAGTTAATTGGTCATTTCATCAAGGCAATTTTTTTCTAATATATTGAGAAGAGCGAATCGGGGTGATCAATGAATGGAGTGAGAAAAGGTTCCATTACAAAGTAATTATTGCTATGGAATGGGTAAGAGAAACTTTCGATATTACCCCAATGTATGTTTCTTCGAATACATGATGAGGCTAATTTAAATTCAATGCATAAAGGAAAGAGAAACCATTTCCAATCTCCAAATTCAGGAAGGTATTGAAATTAAGATGTGAACAGCGAATTGAGAAGGAATGGTTTCGAAATTTGTTCTAAAACACCTCCATCCATCCAATACTTTCTAAACACAAAAACAATGGTTTAGGTTGCTTGCTCACCCCAACCCATCCTCTCCCACCTCTCAGGAACCAAATGAAAGGAACCAAAGAGTACGGCTGGATGGGTAGAGGGGAAGATGGGAAGTTCCAACACCATTACTGGAAATTTAATGGGGGGAAAAGGTTGAGAATCATAGTTTGAACTTTGAAGCTATCATCCCATTGAGGGATCAGGGTGATTTTACCCTCCAGAACTATGGTATGAAAAATTTTCCACTCCATCCTCCCAAACAATCCCTTAAAAATCCCTGCACATTAAACTAAATTGAGCCTGTATAATGGATCAAAACCCAGCACTGGTTTGGTTGTGTTTAATGAATCCGAATCGGTTTGAGAATCCCAGATGCATAATATTAGAACCAATTCAATGTCTATTGGTAACGAACAGGAAACGAAACCTCCGCGGACTTAAAATGAAGATAAAAAAAAAAAAAAAACAGAAACCTACGCCGTTTTCTTTGTCAGATGCAATGGTAGAAAGATTCAAAGAAGCTGGATTTAAGCCCATATTCTTTGACACGATAAATTGCGTAAACAAGCAGCAGAGATAGTGCAAGAATCCAGGGCAAAATCATGAAGGAAAAAAAAATCAGGAAATGGAAACAAGAAAAAAAAAATGGCTACCTTCAGTTAATGAGATTGAAGAACGCGATTCTTGGACCCCTCTCCTCAGGAAACGATAAGTCCTCCACTTGGACGAGCTTCTTGCCAATTGCAGAATCAGTCAACAAAAATAGCAAGTGGGCAACCAAATCTACGTATCTAAGTGTGTGCACACGCACAATATAAATTGCATAGTGGATTTATTTCGTGTGTGAACACTCGGACTGCACGAAAATCTTTCAATCTTTTCTGATCCAGTCTAATTTAAAATAATCTCAGTCTTATTCAATTCTTATAGACACTAGTTTTTTAAAATCAAAAAAATTAAAAAGATTAAATTATTTTTTTGAGTTGGATTGAACAAGAGATTAGACATTCGAATCACTTAATCCAATTTAGTCCTATTAATTTTTTTATTATAATTATAATCAATTTATATTTGACAAGTGTTTGAAGTGTAATTGATGCTAAAGAGATGATTGTATGAAAATTTGTTAAGTTTGTTTCTAAATTATTGTTGTAATGTAGTGTTGTTGAATTTTATTATGTGTTGTTTTTGTTAAAATTATAAATTTAAATCATTTGGATTATAACAGAAATATTTTTTTTCTTATTGTTAGGAATTATTATGAATTTATTATTATTATAGTGTTTTTACCATCTTAATTGAGTTTATTATGTTAAAATGAATTATTGTCTCTCATAGAATAAAAAAAAAAGAAAAAAAGCTAAATGAATATTGGACTGATAGGACCTGTCTTCAGTCATATAGACCAAGTTTAGTCTTGTTAATTTTTTGGATTATCATTAGATAAGACTAGATTACGGGTTGCCTGACCCAGTCCAGACAGACAAATTAAATTGAGAGGAAATTAAATTTGATGCTTTTCTCATGTGATAATTTTTTAAATATATAAATCAATGTGTAGTTTAATTTTTTTATTTTTTATTTTATTTTGAAAATTTTATTTTAGAATGATGGACAAAATTTTTGCTTCCTTGTGATAATTTATAAGTATTCTTTTCAAATTTTGTGAGTTTTGTAAGTTATATGATGTGATTTTTCAGAAAATTTTCAAAATTTGCTAATCCATTTTTTTTAGGCTGTGTGAAAATGTTTCGAGACTTAAGATAAAATTATTTAAAAGGCTTAATCTATTATCATTTATATATTTTTACACATCACTTTTTGTCTTTTTAAGCTATAAAATCATATATTAAAATTTTATAATTAAACAATTCTAATATTTTACTTTCAATAGATAATAGAGCTAATCTATTTAATCTATTTTATAATATGATTAATCTGAAATAAGATTTAAGTAATTTTAATTCTAAAAAATTTCTTTCATATTGGTATTGTCAATAATATTTCATATATAAAGTATAAGCAAATAATAAATTCTTAATAAAAACATGTAATTAACATTAATGTTTAACTAGAAAAATGATTATCGATTATATAAGTTTTAAGCAAACATTTTACACTTTACACTGCCATATTACCCATTTGAAATCTAAAGAACGAATAGATACTTTTAATTCTTAATATTTCCCAAATCATGTATTGTATAGCTTAAATTTGTAGCGGGCTAATTCGATAAATGGCCGGTTAGCCTGCTTATTTTTTTTTAAAAAAATAGAAATTGTAGAATCACTCTCAATTTTCAAATCCACTAAAATTTTAAAACTAAACAAGCTTGAATAGTCAATTTAAAAAAATTCTAAAAAATTTTAGCATTGAATTGGGTCATAAGAGTAAATCTATATTATTCAAATTAATAATAAAATATATTTATTAATTTTTAGAATTTTTATTATAATAATTATAAAATAAAAATAAAATAAAATAAAATTTTTTAAGTTGGACATATTAACAACTAAACTAATTAACATTCACTGGAGGGTAGGAAGGCTTCATTTAGACAACAAAGAAATAAAGAATAAACTTTTGTTGCTGAAATCAATATCAAGATATAATATAAATGAAATTAATATACCAAGCAGTACTTTTTATTCCATACAATATATAAGAGAAATAAATTTAGTTATGTCAATAAAAATAAAAGAAAAGACATAAAAATCTTTGTACCGTATTATTTTTTTATTTGTGGCAGATAAAGTTTGGAGAAATCTACTCAAGTTAATTTTATAGCTACTTCTGATAAAGTTTCTAATATTATGATTGATTGGAAGAAATCTCCAAGCTTTGGATTGTAATTAAACATTTTTACTATGTTTGTTTGTGATTGACATATATTTATTTGGACTGTATTAATCTATTTTCAATTTGTATTTTTTAATGATTTAGAAGAATTTTTTTTTTGGATAATTAATTTTTAGAGAGAAAATATGATTTTTTACCACAAAAATAATGAAAAGAAGTAAATTTATAATTTTTAAAATAAAAAATGTATATAAAAATTATTTTTTATAAGTGGGTTAGCCCACTAACTTATCAACCTTTTGCGGATTATATGAAATATAATCCAGACAAGATGCAAGTTATGTCAACCAGTCCAACCAAGCCTGTAACCTGTGAATTATAAGTTAACTCATATTACTAACTCATAGATCTATAATGGTGAAGGGAGCTTGGTTTGCATTGAGCTAGAAAAATAGAGTAGTGGCCAAAATGGTCAAAGAGAGGACTTAAAAAAAAACAAAAGAAAAACGGTAATTAGAGGATATTTTAATCATTTTACTTATACAATTACACCAAAGACGACAATCAAAGTCTATCAAGACATCATTATAGTAAGAACAAATGTGGGGACAACTTTGGGTTCAAGTTATATAAGAAGTAAATATAATATGATTATAATATCTTCCCGCCTATTAATAAGAAAAGACTAAGCTCTAATATATGGTCTGAAATTAATACCATTTGAAATTTTGTTCGAACTAAGATCGTTATTAGTGAAGATCAATAGGATGTTGGTTGAAAGTAGAGCAAAAGTGGCAAATTCTCAGTCAAGTACGCCTACAAAAATATGGCTCAACATATCCTCTTAAAAAATTTATATAATTAAATCTAACCCTAATTTTTTTTGACCAAGTTTAGATTGACTTGTCAAACTTGGCCAAAATTATTAACTCTATATACATATTAGCTAAAATTTTCAATGGTTAGGATTATTCAAGTTCGAGTCAATTTTGGCCAGGTTTATTCAAATTTAACTTAAAGTATCATATCTTCTTAAAAAAGTACATATAATGTAACTTTTTTCGAGAAGGTTTGGATTGGCCCGTCAAACTTGGCTCAAATTAGCAGCTCTAATTATAGGTGAGGTAGGACCCACATCCAATTTTCAAAACCCACCCACACCCCTTCTCTCTTCTTTATTCCTTTTTCTTTCTTCACATCGCCCAACAAAAAGGAAAAAAAACAGGGAACGTGCACAATGATAGTGTGAGTAATTTTTTATTCAAGATTGCATTATAGAATATTTTGAATGAGATTTCAAGCTTTTTAAGATTATGTAAGTACTCTAAATATTTTTCTTAGTTACATATCCTTTTTACTTTTAAATTTCTTGATGGTAAAAAACCTAGGATTTGGTAGATTTGGAATTTTTGGATATTTTAATTAGTTTTTAAGGAAGCCAATGATATTAGAATAATAGTTTGTATGGTTTAAATTTATCTAAATAGTTTATTTGAGAAATTAAAATTAGGTTTTAAATGAGGAAATTATGCTCTATGAATATGGTAGTGTTTATTGGAATTTAAAGGTTCATTTTGATTTAGTGGAGGTTATATTGATAATTAAATGGATTGGTTTTGATGTTATGATTGAGTGTGAATGTTAGTGATTTTTGTAGTATTGTTAATGTTGAAATTTTGATATTAAGGATGATTTGTAGAAATTATTGTTGTTTAATAGCTCTAATGAGTAAGATAAGGTTATTGAATGAGAGGAATGTAATTGGGAGGGAGAAATTTATTTGTGGTAGCAAATTAAAAATTTTAAAGAAAATAAAGTTTAGGAAAAATTGAGATTTTTGTGTGATGATTATGAGTTTATTTAGGTTTAAAATAATTGTAATGTCCAAGAATGATGATTTGTGGTATGAGACTAAATTTTTAACTTTTAGGTATTTTTATGTGAATTTATTGAATGAAAAAGAAGAAAATGGTGATACTAAAAATGAATTAGAGGCTAATTGTGGCTTATTGGTGTTTATAATTTGTCAGAAGAGGGCTAGAATTTTGATTAATCATACTAACATTAGAAATGATATAAATAATAAAATTGAAAGTGTAAGTTATAACCTCTAACTCTATGATTATAGCTGTATTATTGATTTTGATAATTGAAATTAATATATTATAATACCATGCTATCTGTAGATTGTATTGTTGGTGAAGATTATAGTAGAAGAGAAGTTGTGAGGGGTAAATTATTGTTAAAGCCACAAGGTAATCATGCTTTAATTTATGATTACTATTACCTATTGCTATTTGTGTGATTATTTGAAAAAAAAAATATGTTGACATGCATGATGAGAAATTATGTGGATATGTTTATTGAGAAATTGTAGAATTGTAATTATGTATTTTGAAATTTTTTTGTCAAATGAGATGCTATATTGTAATGTTGTTAGATAATGAGAAAAATTGTGAAAGTTGTGATATTGTACATTTGTGCATTGTTGATATTTAAAGTGCTTGACTTTTTTGGGAGGTGTTGGGAGATTTTGTTATTATTGTTGTTGTATTTTATGCCACGTGGTATGCCTCTATTGGAGACCTAGCAAGTGGCTTGTAAGGGCTCAACTAGTCTACATTTAGTTGGGTGATATAGCACTGAGTGAGGGTTATGTCTCAAGATTAATAGAGGAAGATAAAGATAGTTATCTGTCATGCAATATAATATCTCTTGTATTTGTCTAAAATGTATTATTTTTTGTCACTTAGCAAATTCATATATAATTATTTGTATACATTATCATAAATTAACATTGGTTATTGGGACTTTATAGTCTCGTCCTCTATAGTTAACATTTTCAGGAGAAGAGTCAAATGTGGCTTTCATAGAAGCCCTTGAGGCTCAATGTTATGGAACTACTTCCTCCCTTTGGGTGGGATTTATGATTTTTAATGATGTGCTATTGTCAATGTTAAGTAATTTTGTTATTTATTGAGCATATGAACTCATGTTTGTGGTCCTACCT